CTGAATTGTCAGCAGCATTGTGGAGAGAAATTGATGAGATGGGGCGGTGATGGGTTTCATAAGTTTGGGGATCGTATCGGGCAGTTGAGGAAGACACATGGGATTATCAGGAACAGAAGGGATCCGGCTGCATTGGCTGAGATTTAGCAGATTGACGAGCAACTGGCCCAATTGGAAGCACAGGAGGACGTATTCTGGAGACAGCGTGCGAAGCAGCATTGGCTTCGTGGTGCAGATGCGAATACGAAATTTTATCACAGGTATGCCTCTGGTCGTAAGAAAAAGAATACTGTTTCTAGAATTAAAAATGATGCTGGCATGTGGGTGAAAGGGAATAAATATGTGTTATGTCATATTGGACTATTTTCGAACTATTTTTGCATCTGAGAATTCTGCTAGTGATGATAGTTTGTTTGATGGCTTTATTCCTCGAGTATCTCACGACCAGAATGTATCTTTACTGCGCCCTTTTGACTCTGAAGAGGTAAAAATAGCAATTGACTCTATGTACCCTGATAAAGCACATGGCCCGGATGGAATGAATCCAGGCTTTTATCAGCATTTCTGGGACGTGGTAAGGGGATGTGTCTGAATTTATAACAACCTGTTTGAATTCATGTGTGTTCCCTGAGGGTTTGAATGATACTAATATTGTGTTAATCCCAAAGAAATGTGTGCTAGAAACGGTGGTTGACATGAGACCAATTGCCCTCAGTAATGTTATTTACAGGATAATGACCAAGATGATAACTAACAGGATGAAACCGCTTATGGGGGGACTTAATTTCGAAATCCCAGAGTGCTTTTATTCCGGGAAGGTTAATCACGGATAATATCTTGGTCGCAGCGGAAGTGGGTCATTATTTAAATAGAAAGCAATGAGGAATAGCATGATGGAGTGCCCTAAAACTTGACATGTCAAAAGCATATGATAGGATGGAATAGCCGTTTCTGGAGAGAATGTTAAGTGCCATGGGATTTGATCATCGTTGGATAAAGCTTATTATGCTATGTGTGACAACTGTTAATTATACGGTAATGGTAATTGGCGTGACTGGAGGGCAGGTAACGCCTACCCGCGGACTCAGGCAAGGAGACCCTCTATCTATTAGGACTCTAATATATAGAATAGAGAGTCACAGTGTGACAATGATAAGAAGTAGAGAGTCACAGTGTGACAAGGATAAGAAGTTCTAAACAGACTCATATACATAGAGTCCTAATACTCCCCCTCAAGCACAGTGTATACTAGTAACCTGTAGCTTGTCCCTTAAGGAAGAAAATCTAGGTCCAGGCAGAGCTTTGGTGAAGATATCAGCAAGTTGATCCTTTGTGGAGATGAAGTTGACTTGGATATCGCCCGAAGCTACTCGATCACGAACAAAATGATAATCAATCTCCACATGCTTGGTGCGCGCATGAAAGATTGGATTGGCACTCATATATGTAGCTCCTAGATTATCACACCATAATTTTGGAATGGAAATACCTGGAATCTGTATCTCACGCAATAATGACATAATCCATAGAACCTCAGCACAAACATCTGCAAGAGCTTTGTATTCAGCCTCAGTGGATGACCTGGCAACAGTTCTCTGTTTCTTGCAAACCCATGATATAAGATTGCTCCCCAAGAAAACAGCAAAACCACTCGTGGATTTTCGATCGTTAGGACAACCAGCCCAATCAGAATCAGAGAAAGCATGAATGTCTCTAGATGAGCACCGTCGTATGCGTAAACCATGATCAACTGTTCCCTTAACATACCTGAGTACCCGTTTGAGCTGCTCCCAGTGTGATATGGTGGGGGCATGCATATGCTGGCATAACTGATTAACTGCAAAGGATAGGTCAGGTCGTGTGACAGTGAGATATTGCAGTGCTCCAGCTAGACTCCTGTACTGTGTGGGATCATCATATAGATCTGAATTGAAGGGGACAGTTTTCGAGACAGAGATAGGTGTAGAAAGGGGTTTGCATTCAGACATTCCAGCCCGTTTTAAAATATCATTCATATACCGTTGTTGAGATAAAATAATCCCATTGTCACTCTTAACTGTTTCAATACCCAGAAAAAAATTTGGTTCACCAAGATCTCTGATTTTGAATGTAGCAGACAGTTTGGACAAGAGCTGAGACATAATACCTTGATCACTTCCCATTACAAGAATGTCATCCACGTACACCAATAGATAAACCAAAGCAGAGTCTTTAGAGTAATAGAACAGAGAGACATCTGTCTTGGATGCTTGAAAGCCAACCGATAATAAGAACGTATGTAGTCGATTAAACCAAGCTCTGGGAGCTTGTTTTAACCCATACAGAGATCTTTTTAACAAACAAACATGATTCGGGAAGTTAGCATCAATATAACCAGGGGGTTGCTTCATATAAACTGTTTCAGCCAGATTACCATTCAGAAAAGTATTATGAACATCTAGCTGTTTGATAGACCACCCAGATGATAAAGCTAGAGATAGAAGGAGTCTTACAGTCGTAGGCTTTACCACTGGACTAAAAGTGTCGAAGAAGTCCTGACCTGGAACCTGATTAAAACCTTTCGCAGCCAGCCTGGCTTTATGCCTTTCAATAGCACCATCAGTCTTTCTCTTCGTACGAAACACCCATTTACAGCCAATAATATTCATACCTGCAGTGGGTGGAACTAGAGACCATGTGTGGTTATGCAGGAGAGCATTGAATTCTTGGTCCATGGCTTCACGCCACTCAGGATATTTGACAGCTTGAGAGTAATATGTGGGTTCCGTGGGATGCACTTGAGCTGCTAGAGCAAAAAGAGGAGCATCTGCGTTGCTGCGAGTGGCCATAGAGTGAGTACGGACATTGGGCCTGATGGACCGCCCACGTGGACGGCCTCGCCGGCGAGCAACAGGCTCTACAGGATCACCCGACGAGGCAGCCTGTCCAGGATCCACGGGTGGTTCGAATGAAGCAGGTAGCGGCGGTTCTGGCAGCTCATCATTGGACACGGCAGGAATAGGTGTGCTGTGACTGAGAACAGATTCCGCCCAAGGTCCAGAAAACAGAGTAGATAGATCCTGCAAAGAAGTTTTAGTAGCAAAGGGGAAAACTTCTTCATCAAATCTGACATGCCTGCATGTGTAAATCTTATTAGTATGTAAGTCCATGCATCTGTACCCCCTAAAGGACTCAGGATAACCTAGGAAGACACATGGAGAAGACCTGTATGACATCTTATGACGATTATATGGTCGAAGATGAGGGTAGCATAAACACCCAAAGACACGAAGAAAAAGATAGGAAGGAGGGGATTTATGTAACAGGAGATGAGGACTGGAGTTATTTAATACAGAAGATGGCATTCTGTTAATTAAATAGACAGCAGTCTCAAAGACAAAATCCCAAAATTTTAAAGGAACAGAGGCATGAGCTAGAAGAGCCAGACCAGTTTCAACAATGTGACGATGTTTTCGTTCAACACGACCGTTCTGTTCATGTGTATAGGCACAGGATTGTCTATGTTGAATTCCTAATTGAACAAACAAAGAATGCAACTTTTTGTACTCAGCACCTAAATCAGACTGAATGGCCTTTATTTTGCAATTAAAGGACCGTTCAACAAGAGTACGAAATTTATCAAAGATGACATAAAGATCAGACTTTAATTTCATAGGAAAGAACCATGTATAACGGGAATAGTCATCCACAAAGATCACAAAATAACGGAAGCCAGAAGTAGATAAAGTGGGCGCAGGACCCCAAATGTCTGTGTAAATAAGATCTAGGACTTGAGAACTAGAGGAAGCAACACGGGGGAGGGGAAAACGGGCAGATTTGCCTAATTGACACGCATTGCATAAAGAATTATGAGAACGAATATTATCACGAGACCCACTAACCAAACAAGAACGAAGTATATGGCTAAGAACACGGTTATGAGGATGACCTAGACGATTGTGCCAAGTGGAAGCTGAGGCACGAGCGGAAATAAACGCTGACGGAAACGAACTAGGTAATGAAAGTGTGTATAGTCCCCCCGAACTATTGCCCCGAAGAAGTATTTCCTTGGTATTGATATCTTTTACAACAAAAAAGGAGGGGTGAAACTCAAAAAAGACTTTATTATCGGATGCAAACTTCTGAACAGATAATAAAGAATTAGACAAACGCGGAACGTGAAGTATATCAAACAATGTAAATGATCTAGAAGGGGTATTAAAAGAGGCATGGCCAACATGACTAATAGATAAACCCATACCGTCACCGACACGTAAAGTGTCATTACCAGTGTACTTCTCCGATGTAGAAAGGGCAGCGATGTTCGGAGTTGCATGATTTGTGGCTCCAGTGTCCGGAACCCAAGTATGAGAATTTGACGAGGTTTTAGCAACTAAACCATTCTGAAACACCAAATTAGCCTGAGAACCCGGAGCCCCTGAATATCGCCGAAAACAGTTGACTCCCGTGTGACCGAAACTTTTGCAAATTTGACACGGATCATTATAGCGCCAAAAACAATTGGCTCCCGTGTGACCAAAACGTTTACAAATTTGACATGGATCATCATAGCGCCAAAAACAATTGGCTCCCGTGTGACCAAAACGTTTACAAATTTGACACGGATCTACATAGCGCCAAAAACAATTGACTCCTGTGTGGCCGAAACCTTTACAGATTTGACACGGATCATCGAAGCCACGTTGCTGACCTCCACGGTAATTAAGATTGCCATTGCAGCGCTGCATCTTCTTAATTTTATGAATCACAAAACCCTAGCTAACTGATACCAGATGAGAACTGATTGTATTATATTTTCTGAACTTAATTACAATGAGATCAGATGATGTGAATATATAGAATAGAGAGTCACAGTGTGACAATGATAAGAAGTAGAGAGTCACAGTGTGACAAGGATAAGAAGTTCTAAACAGACTCATATACATAGAGTCCTAATACTATCTCCTTATTTATTTATTATTTGTGCAGAGGGACTTTCTATGCTATTACAGAAAGCGCAGATGGAGGGCGCTATACATGGTTGTAGGGTGGCAAGAGGTGCACCCCCGGTATCACATCTTTTTTTCGTGGATGACAGTCTCTTATTCTTCAAAGCTAATATCCAGGAGGCCGGTATAGTCAAGCAGTGCCTGCTAAGGTATGAAAAGTTGTCTGGCCAAAAGGTGAATTATAATAAATCAAGTATTTGTTTAGCAGAAATACCCAGGTGGAGATAAGGGGGGAGGTGGCGGCGTGTCTAGAGGTGGAACAGGCAGCTAATTTTGGAAAATATCTTGGCCTACCATATTTTGTAGGCAGAAATAAAAGGGCTGCTTTTTCCTATGTGGGGGACAAGATCAGGCAAAGAATTGGTTCATGGAATAAAAAGTTGCTCTCCCAGGCTGGTAAGGAAGTACTCTTGAAAAGTGTGGCTCAATCTATGCCTACATTTTCCATGAGTGTTTTTTTGCTACCTGAAACTGTTTGCATATCTATTGAGAGAACCATGAATAGGTATTGGTGGGGAACTGGATCAGAAAGGGGAATACATTGGAAGGCTTGGGATACGCTATGCATCCCTAAAAAGTATGGTGGCTTGGGTTTCAAAGATTTACGAGCACTTAATTTGGCTATGCTGGGGAAATAGGCTTGGCGTTTCCTTACAAATCCCAGTACCTTAGCAACAAAGATATATAAGGCTCGTAATTATCCTAATACTTCCTTTATTGATGCCACTATAGGAAACTGCCCGAGTTTCTGTTGGAGTAGTATAATGGCTGCACATGGAATGGTTTGCTCGGGGGTGCGAAGACGGATTGGTAATGGCAGTACGACATTGATGTGGGGGCATCCTTGGTTACCAGATAATCCTAGCCCACTTGTCCAAACAATTATGCCATAGGAACTGCGAAATGCCCATGCCGCTGGTTTAATTGACCAGCAAACCAATACTTGGGACCCCCATATTTTATTTGATTTATTTATTCCTGAGGATGTGGCTCGTATTTCTATGATTCCTGTTAGCCCGGATTATGAGGACATGTGGTTTTGGAAAGGCGAGTCAAATGGGGTATATACGGTCAAAAATGCTTATAGGCAAATTAAAGGAGACTTTGAGCATAACCCATGTGCTTTTGATAAATGGGTTACTCTGTGTAAACTGAAAGTGCCACCCAAATGGAAAACCTTTTTGTGGAGAGCCATTTGTGATATTATTCCCACTACGGATAATTTAATAGTCAAACGGGTGGAGGTTGATCTGGCATGCCCAATGTTTGGAATAACGCATGAGAGTGCCATGCATGCATTAATTTTATGTGATTATTCAAAAATAATATGGAATATTTCGGGATTGCATGTTACTAATGTAGTCACACATTCTTTATCGGCATGGCTTATGGGAATTTTAAATATCTTGACAGAGGAGCAATGTGGTTTGGCCATAGCAGTGCTATACAACATTTGGAATGCCCGCAATACAGCGGTATGGGAACACGACCTCCCACGACCTCACCAAGTATGGCGACATGCGGCGGCAGCAATGCATGTTTACCGGCAGACGCACCGTCCGTCACCCCGGGCGCCGGTTTTTGTGGCTGCTACAACAGATGGGTGCGAGACGCCGAGGTGCTATGCCGATGCCGGCTACAGACCTGCCACCGGAGAAGCTACGTATGGGGCGGTACTCCTCTCTCATCAGGGCACCTTCGTGGCTGTGACAAGTGGAAAGCTATCGGGTGCTTTCTCGGCCGTTATGGCGGAGGCACTTGCTTGCAAAGAGGCGCTGTCTTGGCTTAAGGATCGGGATATCAGGATGATGGATCTTTTAACAGACTGCTCAGAGCTGCGGAATGAATTATACTCAAGCCCAACGGCTAATTTGTCCTATATTGGGATCATTGTGGACAAATATAGGACAACCATATCATTATTTACACGTTGTTCTTTAAGTTATGTTTCTAGAACACTTAATTTTCATGCTCATACTTTAGCTTCGTTAGATTTCGATCAGGAACAACCTATGTACTGGGACTCTGTCCCTCCTGACTCTATTGCTCAGTTTATCCATTAATACACCACTATTTTTACTTTCAAAAAAAAAGTGAAGAAAATAATATAATAGAGAGTAAATAAGGAAAATCATAAAAAATAATAAAATTAAATAATATGAACCATTCATTTCAAGAAATAATTACACCGACATTTTTTTGTTCCAGTTAAGGGCATAACATTATTGGCTATTATTAGATTTGTAGATGTAGATGTAGATATAGACACACACACAAATAAGTAATGCGTCGCTGATAAATACGCAATATAAGAAAATAAAGTTGTGCGTTTGCAACTAGTTATAATTTTTGTCGTGATGGTGAACTGACGTACCTATTTAAGTAATTTAATTTAAATTAGTTTATTTTGAAAGAATTATATTATAATCATAATCAATTTGAGACATTAATAATCATAAATTCAATAAATATATTAATCATATTTTATAATATTACGTAGAATTATAAATATAAATATGTAATATTTATGATAGTGATAATACGATTATAAATATACACATTTTAAAAGCAACCTATATCGATATCTAACATCTAACATCTAACATCTAACAAATGTAATAAAAATCAATCCTATTAAATTTTATTTAATTAGTTGGAATAAAAATGTGTTGGTAGTATAATACTATAGATTACATTGATATATTATATTTTGTTTTTTGTTTGTTTTTATTCATTGTACATCTTAAGTTTATTTTTCAAATTTACACCTTTATATTTGTAAAAATTATTCAATTCTCTTAACATCAGTTACAAAAGTTACCAAGTGGTTTGTAGTCCACTGGTATTGGGTTGTTCCCCTAAGTGGGAGGTGTAAGGTTCGAACCTTAGTTGAGGTGATAGTGTGTATATGTAGGGTATCACCCTTCTTTATAATAAAAATCAGTTACAAAAGTTAATAAATGGTTATTAATTTAATGTAATATTTTTTTCCTTTTACGTTAATGACTATGACTATAATGGTTATTAATTTAATGCAATACTTTTTTTTTTCCTTTACGCTAATGACTTCTAACGGAAAACATATATTATCCATAATTGTAGTTATAATAGTATTTTTACAATCCAAAGAATCTCTAAAGAATTATTGATTGAAAATTTTAACAAATATATATCTATTTTTTAACTTATAGGATATGAAAATATTGATTGGTTTTATTTATTTTTAAATATAAGACAAAATTTTGGTAAACTAAGATGAATGACGCATGATAGAATTCAGGTGTACGTACTTTTACCAATTGATACAATTGTGTGATATTAAACATAAATCATTACAAGTTTTTATCATAACTATTATGTATCACTTTTTAAAAATAAAAATGTTCAATAAATAAAGATAATCTTACATAGTACAAAATGCCCTGATTTACATAAATATATTATTTCAATTATAGATAAAATTCAACATATTTTTGAAAGTTCGTGTAAGAAAATAATAGCTCTTCATTATTAAAGTTGTATCCTATTATTTCATCTATAATTTTACATTTATTTTGACCATATATTTGTGCAATTTTTTTATTCATTAGACAAATTTTATTCACCCATTACGCGTACATATAACTAATCTCTATATTATATTATATATATCATGCTATACGTTGTATTCTCTAAATAAATAGTATTAACAATGCTGGAAATTATGAAATTTCTGACCACCTGAAAATGATCTTAATTCAAGTTGAAAGCAAAAAGTGGTCGGAAATAGCAACAAAGATTTTTTCGGATACCAAAAATGGTCGGAACAAGGCTTTCGACTTGATTTAAGATCATTTTCAGGTGGTCGGAAATTTCATAATTTTCAGCAGTGTGATATTAACTTTTGTTGATAAATAGCATGATAAGTTCTTTAATTTAAATATTTTAGAACAGATTAAATGAAAATAATATATTTTGAATGAATACATATATACAAATTAAAAATAATACTATAAATATATCATTTAATTTAAAATTATTATGATTAGTTTTTATTTTTTTAATACAACTGACTCTGTTATAGTGTAGTATCTATTCATATATACTATCTCAACTTATTTAAACACAAAGATTAGTTTAATGCAATAATAAATATATAATTTAGTTCGTAGGAATCATTATATAATGCACTAATATATTCCTTCCGAAAATCGTGAGCATATGAATGGAAAAACAAAAAGAAAAGTTGTGGGTCGGATCTTTAAATGGTAACCACCTTTTTATTATATTAAATATGTATAGATGTATAGATTTGAAAAATATATATGCAAAAATCCACTATTACGATTGCGTGTTTCAAAATGCCCAAGAATTAAAAATATTACTATATGTATTTATATTTCAAATATGTAAAGTAAAACAAACCATTTTTTCTATTCAATTAATAAAATGAACTTAAACTTTAATCCGTTTAAAGGTGTTTTAATTTTTCTAATTTTTCTGCGTATCACACAGATAAATCACTAATAAATTCAACGATAATAATACAATAATAGCATATGCCACATGATGCATTATTAAATAAAATATTTGATAAAAAAGTTAATCTAGAAGTTAATCCTTCAAAAAAAAAATAGCGTTTTCCTAATAAAAATACGAGAAAAGTACAAAACAACACAAATAAAATATATCTTTTATTTTTCAAAGGAATGATACACATTATATCGTAAAGAACAAACTTTAAAAACTCAGCCCCATATGCTGAGCCATTGAGGGCAAATTATTCCGTGGACCCGAGTTTACATTATAAGGTGGACTTGGATTCAAAAAATACACAATTTACGTATTGAATGTTCACAATTTACATACTAATATGGCATTTGGTTTACTGTAATTTAACTGTAGTTGAATTGGAATTCAATGGATGCCTCAATTACGTTGTTTGGTTGGATAAAATTACAATTCATGGGCACATAAATTGCAATTCAATGAATTTGAGAAAGGAAAAATATATAAAATGACACTACTACCCTTTCCTCTTGGTTATTATTATTATTATTATTATTATTATTATTATTATTATTATTATTATTATTACACAAGTGTATTTTAGTCTTTATATCACTTTTTTCCTTCTCAATTCCAATAATTCTATTTTTCCCTACCAAACAACGTAATTTGAATTCATACTTTATTCCCACCTTATTCTTCTTCCACCGAATTACAATTCCTTTCCCCCATAATTCCTTCCAACCAAACGCCCTGTTACTATGTAAACATTTTAGTATGTAAATTGTGAACATTCAGTATAAAAATTTTGTTTCTTGGATTTCAAGATGGACCCGGATCCGTGGTATAACTGTCTGCAATTGAGTCATCGTAATTTACATTCTCCTAAATGCTCTGTCGGGTCTAGATGTGGGGGCATTGCGAATGAAGATTCAACTTTTTGAAAGAAAAAGAAAAAAACTTTAAAAAAAAAATGGTAGATATAATAAAAGTGGGGTTTGGTCAGTTTAGGCCCAAATATTCTTCTAGGGATTGGTGGTAAAAAGACTCATTTCTCATCCTATAAATACCACTCTGCTCTCCCTTCCCAGTCATCCCCATTCTCACTCCGCCAGAAAAAAAATAATGGAAAAGAGAAAACCCATTCTTTTTGCTCTTTCTTTCTCTCCCATTCTTCTTAACCCTATTAGGGTTAACCACCAAAATTATGGTAGAATTTTCAGTAATGGCTCTCTTTGTATTCTTCCACAGCTTTCTTGAACTGCATCCATGTCGATTTTCTCCAAGATCAGATTTTCTTGGATGTGAACGGCAAACTGTTTTGCGGTTCAATAAAGCTGTGGGAAGATACAGAAAGGGCCAAGAAACAATAGACTTTTACTTTCTCTTCAGATCTTGTTCATCTCTACTGCCCAGTGCATTGTTTTCTTCAGTTCATTACAGTGAATTGTAACTTCCTTTGCAGATCCATAATTTTATGGGGTTTTTCTTAATGTGTTTATGCACAATTCTTGAGAATTTCTTTGTTACTTCAATTCTTCATTCCCTTATCTTATAGGGAAGGCTACTGGGAGGAAGTTTTAATTGGTTTTCTGTATTTTCCTTGTTGTTTGTGGGCGTGTCTTATTAACTGTCTAATGTCGTCTGTGGGGAACCTTGTCTGGAAGTTTCTTATTCTAGATTTGGTTTTAGTGATCAACTTTGCATCTTTGTTTACACTCTTTATGCTCTTAAAAGATGTTTTGTGTATATCTAATTGGACCGAAATTAAACTTCAAATCTTCGATCTATATTTAGAATTATGTAATGATAAGGTTTTAGATGTTTTTACAATTTTGTTTGTTTGTTTGTATAGATCCATCTTAGTTTGATCTATTAATGATCATACATCCATATCTCCTCACTTAATTCACTTTGGTTCTTTTAGGCAAAGAAAATTTCATAAATCAAGGGAAAAGGTAAAAGAGACGAAAATCAAATAAAATCCTTTTGATCATGATTTGCAAGCCATTCAAACATTTTAATGGATTTATATACAAATTTGCAGGCTATTTGATTCAAGATCTGATGTGTGGGACAATGACAAGTATGTTGTACCATAGATGTATTGTTATACATTTGGAATTCCTTTGATTTATGGGAAGCTTGCAGCAGCGGTTGCGAACAACTGTTTGACCAATTTGATTATGGATGACTTAGAGTTCTTTGTGTATCTATGATGTAATATGTCTTTAGTATGTTCTTCTTGTTATGTTTGAGGTAATGTATCTTTAGTATGTATGTCTAGTTTTCTTTGTTGTAAGTATCAAGGTAGAATCTAGTAGATTAGAAATATTATGTATTTTATTCCTTTCATATATTTGCTATTAGAATTATGGTTTCTTTGTCTATCAATTCTCCTTATACCTTCCCTCTATGATTGATTGAGAAAAGCATATTAGGCATCTCAAGAATGTTACATCAATTCTTACCAATCCTATTCCACTTTTAGAGGCATTATTAATTTTCTTTTATACAATGGTATTTACAATAATATAAATCTCCATAGTATATTTCAACATTTTCTTTTATACAA